GATGGAACGCACGTGTTGTTCTTCTCCCTACGCTACCTTGGACCGCGCTTGACCCACCACGTGCTCACTCCCATATGGCACTTGCTCTCATACCCGTCACTGCCATGGCGGGGACCAGCTCGGCTTGTCCACAGGCCTGGCTCGCCATGCTTCGCGCGCACCCACCCAGAATGAAGCCCAAGGCAAACTGGGTGAGAGCCAATCCTGGAATGCCCGTATCGCATTTGGGTAGTCCGGGTAACAGGCTGGAGAAAGCAGTGCAACGCGTTGCTGGTTGTAGAAGGAATCAGTCATCTACCCACCGCTGGACAATACCAGCACCACTTTTTGTTGACGATTCGGGACTACTCCACAACATGATATCTGGCGCTGCGAATCTGGCCGCAACATACCATGCATACATTGCGCGCGCTGAAGTGCCTCCTGTCATCCCCTGTCATAATACAAAAGAGCCACTACACTCGTTTGAACCACAACCTGTTTCATCTTCTGACGGCGTGCCAAGCCAAACATCCGCCACCAGATTGCCATCATCACGTGTGATCATGGGCTGTGAGCGGCCATGTAGGGGCTAAGATTCCAATCGACGCGCGCGCAGCATTCGGACTGGGAAGTGGGAAGCTCAGGCCAAGGCCAGCCTCTCCAAGCCCTTAAATTAAGTTTCTAAACGTGGCTCCTGAATGAGCCTACATTAGCACATGTAATAACAAAAGTGTTGAAGGCACAACAACTTGAAATCCCACGTACCTAGCCGGAAAGGAGCCCTGGCTATGCGTTTACCCCGAATCCCTTAAGCAGAACTGAGCAGCTTGCTCAATAACTAGCTTTGCAACACTACCCCTGAGTCCCTGAGCTGCCTGTGAAAGCATCTTCAAAACTGGCGGGGTCAAGGTGTCGGCATGGATGGAGCCTCGAATACTGCAGTTCCCATGTATCCTACGGGACAATTTTGGTGGTAGTTTGGTGGAATTTTGGAACGAGTGTACAATCCCAGCAAGGGTCGTCCTACGCAGGGTGGCTAAGTTGCCTGCATGTTTCATCATTTCACGTGAGTCTATATAAGTTTGGTCGCTCAGGTCAGTACTGCCATTACAGTCTCAAAGCCAACAAGTGCTGAAACATCGAGGGACGGCTTTTTCAAGTTCGTTGGCTACTCCTCTTTGAACACAAAGTTTCAAACGCAAAGCGTGCAAGTTTCAGCGCAACATATGAACAACGTCTCAAAGACATAGTGGGGCCGGAGCAAAGCCGTTGAAGAGACTGCGATGCTACCGAGCAGCTCGAAGCTGGTGACAAGCCTTGGTAAGATTCGCCCTAGAAGCCTCATGCACATCAAAAAATGAATGATATGTTTTAGACAGCACGACAGGCCTTTTGCAAGCATGATTGCAACTGTTAAATTTCAGCTGGGCCAGCTTCAGACAAACCCTGACCGTTTAGGTCACTGGCCGTTTCCGCAGAATGCACGCCGCCAATGCAGAAGGAGACAGATAACGCCTGGTCCACAACTTGGATCCTTCTGATTTGTAAGGGACACTGTTGGCATAAGCATTGTTTCAGGTACTTTCATGCCTCACATGCCACTACCAGAGGACCTGTTTTCGGGTGCACTGGTCTATCGGTGTCCTGAAATAACTGGGTTTCAAGCAGGTGCTAAAGTGGACTTTGAGTTTCTGGAGATGGTCCGCAGTAGCATGCTGTTGGACTTAGGTTCATGCATGTTTCACCGGCCAAGGAAGCCTAATTTGGCCAGAAGCGCCTCGGCACTAGACCCTCAAAGATTCTAAGCAACTCCACCACTGTCTTGTACACGGGACTATCTCAGCCGTGCTCAGATGGGCTACGGAGCGGCTAAATGGCTATGCAGGGACACTCATTCTGCATACTAGTTTAGAGCAGTTGGCTAGTTTCCAACTCATTAAGTAGTGAAGCCGCTCAAATAACGCCATGGGCAAAATGAATGGTGTGCTTATGTACTTCCTGCCTACTTGGCATCGGCCGGGTCCTTGCCCATCTGACGACATGAAGTTACTACGGACCACCCTCCCTCATAAAACGCTTCGCAATCCCAGACTGATGGCCGCTTTGGCGCCTGTGCTGCATCTTCATTGCAACCAAGGCGTATCAAATGCGCCAATGCCACAACGTGCAGGCACTGCTTACACATATGTCAACAATTGCCGAATCCGATGTCATACGCCACCGAGAACTTGAATGAATTTCAACCTGCAAAATCTACCTCTCTACTGACTACTACTTTATCAAGTTGTGGGTAGTTCACATTGCTGCATAGATGACGGGTGAATCGATCACTGACCGCAAACCTGTTGAGCCACAGTTGCATGAGAATGAAAACTCAAAACTCCAGATTTGATTTCATGCTCCTCTACACTAAATGTACTGTTTAGTTCTCAATGTAGGTAGCAGGTGACAATACACGTTGCGAAGCTTGGAGTACTGCAGCAACCTTCCTGTGATCTGAGCGCTCCGTCAAGAGAATGTTATAAATGGCAACTTCTGGAATTCTTTCACGATCTATCTATGCTCGGCATCTTGATCCGCTCTTGGTTTGTCGACCTCCTCCGGATCCAGATTCCAGATTGTCTTCATCGGGCGCTGCTTCCATACCCCTTGATTCCTGATATTCCTGTAGCACCGGTTCAGATGGACCAGGGACTGCCTCTTCTTCTGGCTCCTCCAGCCACTTTACTGGTACATCATGATCTTGTCATTGGCCTACCATCCTTATAGAGAGGAGCCCCAGGGCGGTTAAAAGAACATGTCGAAATAGGACCAATAGCGCATGATCATCTCTGGCAACCCTCGCGCCTATGAGATCTGCTTCCAGACACACCCAATCTTCTTGCAAGACCGCAGGACCCCTTCCACAATGTCGCCTGAGCTCCGCTTAACTTGGACAACGTTTGTGTAGCAACTTTAGCACTACACTCCCAAGCCGTCGCTCAACCTGATCAGTCTAAACCACTGACGCCTGGCTCGCCTCAACTTCTGACACAAACCTTGGCCCAAACTTTCCCATCCGCTTGTGCACTGAAATACAGAGCAGTCCGTGTCATCGCTGTTCCAAAACTCCCGGGGCCCACGTCGGCCGTCTGCAACCCCAAGAAACCGCCCAAAAGGCAAAATTAGGGAAAAGATGGCAAAAGAAGATGTTCACCTGGACACCATGATGATGCGCTGCTGGCTCGACTTTTTGCAGGACAGACTGCGCAGGCCAAAGTTTCCCCTCTTGATTTCAACCGTCCTTCCCCTTTTCCTGATGAAACTCCCTTGGTCGGCACATGTGGGCACAGGCCATCTTCCGAGTTAAGAAGCGGGTAAGGAAGGACATGCATCTATGGCTTGCCACAAGGAAAGCGGCGCAGGTGTGTCTATGTGCGCCTTCCATTTTCCAATTGCAACTTCGCATGGCATCACTCCACCTCGACTGCCTGGCAGAGGTGAAACAGTGAAATGCTGATTCAAATCCCTGAGGGTCAAAAAAAAACACATGAACTCAAGCTGTAGACTGAAGATCCTGCAAGGCAAGCATGTCCCATGTGCCCAGGGTTGACGATGTTGACGCTAGAACTCAAGCAGGTGCTCAACGCTTTAGAGTTGGCATGGGCACAGCGCGCCTGCGCAGCTGCAGTGGAATCGGGACTCCAGCCCTCCGGGCCCTGAGAGCTCGCCATCAGGATATTCACTATACAGGCTGCATTGAAAGATTTGCAACTTGTCTTTTTTCGAACACTGGAAGCAAATCTTCTGCAGTTTGTTCCGACATGCTGTACACGAGATCTTCTGGGTATGCTGCCCATGCAATATCTCCTCTAGACAGGAGCAATCATGCAGTGTTAGTTGTTGATACTGAGACAAGCTCTTTTCTGGTTCATATGTCAGTGCGTCCCGCCACCTTCACTGCAGGCCTGGGCATCTGGATAGATTTCTTTGCCTGGAGTAGTGCTCGCGCCCCTACGACTGCCAGCAGCGTGAGCGCGGCTTGTGGGTGCCCGGTTTGCTCTCACACCCGGCCAATAGATATCCATGATGGAATTCTAAGATGAAAGCTGAAAGCTAGCCTTCCACAGGCTGCAAAACACTATGAAGGTTCTCAACGCGAGGGATCTTAGGATCTCTTAAATTCAGGTAGAAGATGTCCATCATAAATCCAGCTTTTGGCGCATCCAGTAACGCTTCGCGAGCGAGCTTTGATTCTCGAAGTTCCAGAGGCCGCTCCGTGCTGCGAGAATGCTGGGGGGGCACTGAAACGGTCTGCGTGGATACTGTTCCTTGCTGGTTCCACTGCAGCTGGCACCATGTCATACCTTGTCGCGCCTCGAACTTGGAGCACTCAAAACGACAGCGCTCCAAAACCGCTGCCTTGCTGAGCTGCACTCACACATTTGGCCCATTTGGCTATACGTGTAGGCAGTGATGCACCAAGACATACTTGCATCCCTGATTAAGTCAAGCACCCTGCACTTCTAGGTGGGCGACAAGCCGAGTTAGTACTGCGAACATGCAGAAGGATTGCAGGAAGATTTGCTGTTGGAAGGGATCTAAAAGACTGCAGAACCAGCTCTGATCAGCCCATGGGTCTTTACATCCCTTATTGTGGCCCGTCTCCCAAACCCAACTTCCTCAGTGACAGGCACTACTTTGAGATGCAGCGTGATTGTGCTTTCGGTTTGCTTTTCACTCTCTAGCCCTTACGGGATTCGTGCCTTACCAGCATTATTCCAATGCTAGCTTGTGCGAATGCAGAACGTTTCTAGTGAACTGGCCGTCGCCCCACTGAGCAGTATGTCAGGTTTCAAAGGCTTCGAGTACCTTGGATAGTAAGTTGGCAATTGTCGAACCCCTGCCGCTTCATCCTGAAGCCCAGAGCTGAACACCGGTGAAGCACAGACAAGCAGCGTCAAGTGGAGGGTGGCGGCTCTCCACCATCCTGCGCGCATCTGCATTGCATCGCACACATGTGTTTTTACATGTAGCATTCATGCGCACGTCAACGCAGGCTCAAGAGAAGGTCTCCGAAGACAGAGGGCAAGCAATTTGGCGGGAAAAGTTGGCCTGGTCTTGAATTCACAGCCTGACCTCTGCATCTCGCCCAAATGCTTTCGGCGTCCCCTTCGAGTCTGCAAGAACCTGAAGCAACTCAAGACAGCAAAATTGGGGTCATCCACGAGTGTGACACCATCCACACATGTTTGGGCTTGCGCTGAGAGACTGCAGAGACCAAGGCTCAGGCTCCATTGCTACATGCTGCTTCCTAGCCTGGGCTGCAAGGAACGTTCCCTGATCAGTGGTCTTTTGACGTCACAATCAGAAAATCCTGGTGAACTCTGAACTCCGTACATCTGTGTTGCCCTATGTTGCAGTCACTAATCCGATCCTGCTGCATCCTTCTTTGCGAACGCTGACCAAGGCGAAAGCCGCGCCAACGGGATTCGCAGGACGCAGCTCACCAGGTCGGTCTATGTACCTCCGTGCGAAAACCGTCTGCCGCCAAGCTTGAGTTCGACTGCCCCACGGCCGCTCAGCTTCAAATTACTGTTGGATCAGCAGGCAAGCTGTTGGTTGGCACTCGATGATGGCCATCGGGGTTGTGTCGCGCTCCCGATACCTCTGCACAACATGCAAATACTTATTCGCTAACTGGCGCTCGCAGCACAACATGCGCAACTGGCATCACTTCAAAAACTGCAGTGGCACCTCCAGAGGTTCACCACTCGAGAGAAATGAAAGTGTCGATCCTAGCTGCAGGCTTCAACAACCAATACACAACCAGTTCCCACCGCAGCGTTCAGGATCTGAAGGCTTGGGTCGAATTACCTCAAACATCCTCAAACTGGTGATGAATGAATGCACGGACCTGATAGCGAGGTAGCATCCGCTCGTAGAGTATGCGTCTGGCCTCAGGCAGCTGTGCAACTGCAAGGCACCAATCTGCGGTTCCTACGGGCTCCTTCACTGCAAGGAGCTTCAAAGTGCCACGGCCTTGATCATCCTTGCCTGCCTGCCTGCCTCATGTAACAAAGTCCGGCCTCGGGTGAGGTGAGCATGCTCTCCACCTTGGGCACGGCAACGCATGGCAACACTTCAACTTCAGTGCAGATTTGCCTAGCCCTGTGCCCTGTGCTTTGTAGGTGCATGCAGAGAACTGCGGGCTCCCGACAAGTCCATCATGGTACGGCGAATTCTTCTTGGCAAGGAAGACTATCTCCTGCAGGAGCGTTTTTTCTTTTTTCTCTACATGTAGGGTGGCGACTTTCAAAGCTGAAATTCCGTCTCCTCAGCATATTGCTGCAACTCCTTTGCCCGAGCCAAGGACGTCTCCATTTTCTGGTCCTTCCAGATTGCTAGGCAGCTATCTATTCGCTCCAAATAGACTCTGCTGTTGGCAAGCGAAGGCTCCCGCACCAAGAGGTTCAGCATGTCCTCATGCCAGTATTGTGCCATGGAGCTTAGTCTGGATCCAGCTTAACTCAAGGGTCTAGCTACGCAACCACACTGAAAGAAATGGGCTTGAAGACAAGCATCTTTCATCATCTTCCATTGCTTGTGCGAAGGTCCGAACACTTTGTGATAGACCTGGCAAGCACAAGACCAGGTTGTTTGAATCCACGTGTGCACAAAAATGCTTGGCCCGAAAGGTTTCAGAAACTGCAGTTGTCATTTCTTGCCGATACTGGTTGCCTGCCCGCGCGATCCTGTGATTTTGCTTCAGTTCTCAACTGACAAAATGACATAATGCTACTGTCCCAAAGTCTCAAGCTCGGAGCTTGATGCTTGCCAATGACATGAAGCAGGGGGAACACCACTAGATAATGACAGCATCACGGACTTCCACCCCCACCCAAGCCTGAGTGCTTCCAAGCCAACCTTTTCCTGGAAGCACACCTTGCTGAGCTACCTACAAGAAAATCCAGACAGCTTTTGTTTCCGCCCTACAAGCCGCGAAGAAGCCTTCGATGGTAGCTTATCGCAGTTGCTTTGCTGGCTCTGGCGCTCTTTGCTGTTGCTCCCACAGCGCCGTCTGCATAATCAAAAAAACAAGAAGATCCATTGGCAGGCCAATCCCAGTCGGCAAAACTAGCTGAAGGCATGCGGTGCTTTGCGTCAAAGTGCAAGCGATGCGGGTTGGCTCGCTTGCCCTTTGACCGCGCTCCCTTCGCCAGATTCCTGGCACGTGAAGAATCGGATTAGCAGGTGCAATGCAAACCCAGACTCTTTGTTACAAAGAAATTAAACCGGGCATTGCTTCACCTTGTGGTAGCAATCCAGCCCATTTTGGGCTGTTGGCCACCGTGGCAGCGCGCTTGGAATTATCAGCCAGTCGGAAATTCAGTTGCGTTTAGGGTGGTCTCTGATTTGAAGCTGCAGGCAGTCAGAATATGTATTTCAACCTGGGCTCTTACAGCAATCAACTTGCTTTTGGCTGTGCTTGAGCAAGATGGTCGAACTTGTCGTGACAAGCAATGTCTTCAAACATGCTTGCACCAAGGGACAGCCGTCTGCATGCCCTAAGATCATCTTGCACGGGTTCCAGCACTGGGCAAGCTTTTGCCACACGTCAGGGCGAACGTGTCAGCTCTAGCAGGCATGGAATAGAGGGTGTTTCCTTTGGAGCTGTTACGTCAAGAGATTTGTTTCCATATGAAGTGCGAACCACACTGGCTACATCTAACTACTCGGTCTTCGAAGAAAATTAACTGCAGCACAAATGCTTCACAACACCAACAACAAATTCTGCTATGCTCATAGCTGCGCCTGTGCTTTGCAGACTTTGCAGAAGCTGAGTGATGATGCCAGCTCCAGCTTGTCAGCTCTTGGCACTACTTCTTCCAAAGACTGCGCACGTCCTCACTTCTTCGCGACTTCAGAACGGGCTTTCTTTGCGGTGTCGCCTCCCTGACAACCAACTTGAAACCACATCATGCGCCATCAAAGGTCGCAACTCATCTCTGCGAGAGCATGCACACAACAAAATAACGGTCATTTGCATACCGAGGTCCAGAGAGGCTGGCACCCATTTTTTTAGGTTGGTTTGCCAGCTGAAAGACTTTTCTAACTTCTTGTACACGTTCTCATCGTTATTCCTGTTCACGCTCTCACTGCAACCTTTCTTGAAGTCTGCCGACCTTTGAAACCTTTCCTCCCTCCCCCCGCAACCTGACACTGTGCCCAACTGGAGGTTGAGGTGCGCTCGCAGCACAACAGCATCTGCCATGCGGTCAGCACCCTCACCCCCAATGCATTCTAGAAACACCCTTACAGTACTTGTTTGTTTCAAGAAGCGCATGAGCAGAGACAACTGCAAAACGTGTAGGGCTCAGCCAATGCGGGGTACGTCCACAAGATCCGTTTGTTGCACACAACCAGGGGATTGCAAGCAAAGGCCCGACCGGGCGAACATTCTGGGGCGGCTAGCTTGAGGGTCCGGATTGGGGACCAGTGATCAGAAGGAGCAATCAACGCTGTTTCCGTTGCTTTTGAACGTTGCTTTGGAAGGCTTGTCAAAGCTGAGCGCGCCTGGAGGCGGAAGTGTTCTTGCACGCTGCAAAGTCCGCGACGCGGCCCACACTCCAAGTAGTTCCTAGCCAACACCGCTCCCCCAACGTTATACATTTTTTTCTTTCCGGCCCCGCTCCCCGCAACACCTAACTGCGTTTGGGGCCGGCCGACTCCTCCGACCCTGAAACATTCTATGCCAGGCTTCCATTCTTGAAGCTCGCGTTTAAAACTCCTTTCATTCGAGCTTCCAGTGACGCTGATTTTTGCCTCTGCCTCCGCCAGTGTTTCTGGTAAATCTTTTGTTGCCGCCACTGTCGTTGAACTTTCCATAAAATGTTTTAACTGACCATTTGATTCGCTCAGGAAGTGCAATAACAAACCCGTCATTATTGCAGGCAGGCAAGATGCATGGACGCACGGTTTTCCGACCATGTCTATGACAGTGGCAAAAGTTCCCCGTCTGGTGTCAAAGATGCACCCATGGTGCAGATCTGTGAACCCAAGGCACAATGTAGGTGACCTAGGTGCGTCTCGTGTAACTCAGACGGACGATCGCCGTCCAGAGTTAACACACACATGAAGCAGCAACAACCGCAAAAGCAACAGCAACAACATGTAACGCTACTCCTGACTGGAGACGAATACATTTCTGATTCCTAATCAACAGAGAAAAAACACTCCTGCACGTCTGGAATTGACACTGCTTGCCATGCTGCAGTAGCAGCTTGCAAGCACGCAGTACGCCCCGCGCTGTACTTGATCAGATCTTTGGGGGGAAGACTCCAAACATGAGACATGGAGCTCTTCTGCTGATCTTGCACTAGCAGCTGATACAGGCTATCTTCATCAAGCAGGGTGAGTTTAGACTTCATCAGAATCTCGTCTGCGTGAGGATCTCCCGGTGACACTGCTGCGCTAGCGGTATGCCTTGCAGCTACGACAGAGGCAAAGTCCGTGCCAACTTGGCTGGCTAGAGCAGAATCACTCCTACACGCTACTGAATCAACATTCGTAATTGGAGGATCTTTGAGGCCAGGGGGAGGAGGTCCACGGGCTTTTCTACAAGCTCCTGGTCTAGGCCAGTTCGCCCCCTTACCAGACATGACAGGACCAGCAGGTGTAGAACCGCCATCACCAGAACTCAAGGTTTGTACTGCAGTCGGCGAATGTGGAGCGGCTTGCCCGCCCAGTACAGGTTGTTGCTGAGCCGCCACAGTACCCACTGTCTGCGAAGTATCATAGGTCGGAGCCAGTTGCGATCTGTCTTGACCATATATGAGTCCTGCAGGATGATACACACTGCCCACCCACCTGCTTGGAGGTGGATACACCGTCTGAGATGGGTCGGATCTAGAATCGTCACTGACCACAGCAGATACAGCGGGCAGAACCTCAGGATATTCCTGGCAAGTAGGGTACACTTGCAGGGCTGCAGAAGCAGATCCTGTATCAGACACAGAAGAACGAGCACATGAAGTACGGGCTGACTATGACACTGAATCACCTGCCACTGGTTTCCTTCCAGGTAGCAGCAGCAGCTTCACAGGTACCTTGCAACACAGCCAGATACTTAGAAGGAGAGCAAAGCGTTGCTCATCTGAACACAAAGCTAGCGGGAGTGTAGCACCAATCAACAGGTTACGTCTCAGCTCAGTGTACTACAGTCACAGCGCAGCACTCTAACAAGCATGCAAATGGATATGAAAGTGAAGCAAGGCTCATGAAAGCGCAAATCCTCTAGTTTTTGAGGAGCTGAACTTGTCTGCGGCGATCAGAAGGTGACCATGCATACTTTTGGACAAGCGCAGACCTGGAATGAAATCCTGACAGCAGAATCCGTATGGCACGCCGTATGGGGATCCTGCGCTTTGCAAGTGTCGGATTGGCCACAGTGACACTGGCTGCTTGTGTGTGATTGTCCGATTCCCTGTGGACAGTGTGAAGCCCAGAAAGTCATGGTCATCAACTTCTTCAAGCTCAATGGAGGCTCCATAAAAACCCCAAACACAAAAACTCTTGCGGACTTCCTAGACAGGCAACATCTTGACTGCAGACTAAAGGCCGATTGTCCACACACATGAACAAGTGGCACGGTAGCGCGGCAGACTACTCAAGCTGACTTCTCAAAGATCTGCGCCACACTGTTTCTCTGAGAATACAGGACTGCTTGACAGCACAGGTGATATTTGATTCCCTACGCAGGTGCCTCTGATTTGATGGTAGCATTTGTGATTGGCTACGAAACACCCAGTCTGAAACGACAAGAGCACGACCTCGTAAAGGTGCTTCGCGGCCACAGTCTTCAGATGTCTGGACTGACCTCCTCTAGGCTTGCGCGACAGAGCTCTTGCAGCGGAGGCCGTGCTTTTTCTGAGATCTACTGTAAACAACTGAACACCGGTATTTCTTGATATTGTTTGGTTAGCAGATCCAGCGACGTCAAGATCATCTGTCGAGGCACGGAATTAAAGAAGAACCCAACAAGGTTGTCATTGCGCTCCTCCAGGTGTATCCAACTGGGAGATTCTTCAAAGCACCGATGCAAAGACTTCCAAACGCATGGCAGCGTCAAAGTCTAGACCTTCCCACACAGTGCGTAGCATCAGTTGAACGCAACACGCGCATGCTGACAGAAGCACTCTCAATGGGGAATGGAGATAACTCACAACGGTGCGACCTTTCAAAAACAGCTTTTTTTCGCTTCAACAGCACAAACCCTGCAGAAAGGCTTCCAGCAACGTCAATTTCTCAAGAATAGCGCTGCCGAATACTTGAAGGAATCTTTTCAAACCTCTGCGCCAGAAGTTCCTCTGGTTGTGAGTTTAGCTCTTGAAACACCAAAGGGTCAGCCCACGCGCGGTCCACACTTGCAGAGTAGAATTGAGGGCAAAACACCATCAAGTGGTTGGGGCGATGATCCTCACAATGCACCACAAACTCCTGCAGCGCTCGCTTGCATTCGTGAACTAGATGCCAGTCTAGCCTTCTTCCAGTATGAACAGACTGACTGCGCGCGGGCCACTGCTCTTCCAAGAACTGCAAAAAATGGAGTCTGCAACAACTGGTAAGCCGCGCTTCTTACGCCACACCTGAAACCAGAAAACAGCATCTCAGTCAGCTTGGTCTTGGTAGGAAAGAAAGAGGAATTAGCGCTGCCCTGCCCTAGGTACTCACTCCAAAAGAGGATGAATCGCAGCAAGCAATTCCACTCCTGCAATCACACGTCCTTGAACTAGACAAACATCAGAAAGCTTGTCCCTGTACTTCTCACATGGACACGGAAGCTTGGCTCGACCATGCAACCGAACAAATTCATCCCACGCTTGTATGCAGCCGAACCTCAAGCACCTTGGAGCTAGGAAGGTGAAAAGGAACAAGAAGCGGCTTGTAAGCAATTACCGGCTTGCGTAGCCATGCGTCCACTTGCCCTGCAAAAGAGTCATGCGCCAACATGGGAACGCTCAACGACATGGTAGCTGACGGCCAGGACATGCAGCGATGCCTTACCACACCTTGCAGCAACTTCCTGACGCGAAACCTCAGAGGCATTTCGCCAGGAATGAGGACAGCCCCCTTGAAAATGTAACAGAAGCGCCAAACGCAACAGACCTTGCGCCCAACTCAAGTCTGCTTTCGAACGACGCAGACACGCATACTTGAAAAACGCCACGGCTTGCCCTAGCAAACAGATATCCTCAAGCAACTTTCTCCTGGTGACCACCCAGGTCACAGGAATTTTTTCTGTCTCGTACACTAGTCAGGCTATCTGATACTTGGCCACCGCAATGCACTTGCTCAGATTGTTGATTGTCAGTCTAGTTGCAAACTTGGGATCAAGGCCGAACTTCGTAGCAGCTTCTACCATGGAAGACTTGTCATTGTTCTCGGTGAGAAGCTTGACCACAAGATTCACACGCTTGTTGAACTCTCTCCACTTCCCTTTCATCTGCGGCTTGAAGCTCTGAATCCACTTGACTTGTCAACATGCTCACTGGAAATTGCACTGGGACGATTCTCAGCAAGAGACTGCTGGGCCTTACCAGTAAGCAACTGCTTGACTGACAACTCCATCGGCTGCTTGGCTTCGGGCTTTTGCTCAAGAACTGCAGACTTACGCTTCCGCAAAGGGAGAGTGCCGGGGCCTGCTTTATCATCATGCGGGTTGCTTGAACTGGCTTCCTCGTGCTGCGGGCCTGTCACATGATCATCTTCAGGAGAACCTTTACGGGGCGTCAGGGTGAGGCCTGCCATGGCCTTTGCTCGAACAAGCTCGTCATTAGCATCTTGATTGACTTCGGCAGGCGCGTGCTTCTTTAGAACTTGGACAAGTTCTTCCACCAAGGGAGCCATGAACTGCTGGGCTTGCTTGTGCTCATCAGGAATGGCAGCTTTTCTTTTCTTCAGAATGTTGGACGCCACTGCATCAACATCAATCTTAGCTTCGCGCAAGGCTTTCAAAAACTGAGTAGTCAAAACACTCTCTGCAGCAGTCCGAGTCCATACCAACGACTGATACCGCCCTTCAGAAAGCATGCTAGCGAAAACTCGCTCATTCCTCGAAAACACAACTCATGCGCACGTATGTCTTCCACTGCTCTTAGCCTTCCTGCTCCACTCTGTAGGTTGCACTACACGGAAAACTGGTGGTTAATCATGAAAAATTGAATCACCTTTGAAGTTCGAAGGGTACACCGGCTTGGGCGCCGGCACATCTGCTGCGTTAGGAAATGTGATTCCTGTTCCTGACTGCTGGGTCCACCAATCTGAGCTGTAGCGAGGCTTCCACCCGCTTTATCTCCACTGTTTCGCCACTGATTTTGCTTCCACATGGCCAAGCGTTCTCCAAATAACCACTGCCAAGCACACTGATCTGGCTGCGCTTGAGCTCTGAAACAGCACACACATGACACATGACATGTTTGTTATGAAATTAAGCTTCGCTGACACCTGATTGGAGACATCAGAAATAATCCAATAGGCACGACAATCTTCACCTGGTTTTGCTCCTATTCAAGCCTGGTTTCATCAGCTACACAAGCCTGTAGCACCCAGCATAGACATGCCAAAATCAAATCTTCATGGCACTCCATTCACGAAGCAAAAAGCAAATGCTTTGATCAGGAAGCGCATCTGGCCAAAGACGTGGCCGGAATCACGCAGGCTACCCTGCTGCAGACGCTACGGCGCACGAATACCGTCTGGAGCACACTTGCGCAGGTCTCCAATCAGGCTTCGTTTTCAATTTCCTTGCTTGTTTGCCAAAAGCCCTCAGCTTGCTTGTATGTCTGCTGCTCCGATCAGGGAGCGTTAGAAGTTGGACGGTCAACCCTCAACCCTTGCAGCACGCTCTCTCCAGATTGGTCTCAGAATAGTTGAGGTATTGAGTGCACTAGTGAGGATCTCCAAAAGCAGTACACAGCGACGATCCTTAGTGCGAAGAGTTGACACAGAATAATGCAGGTATACAGATTGGCGTCCCAATCTGCCTCTGCTGCCCCCTGCTTGTCACACCACTGTCACATGGTTCCTAGACCTCTTGTCAACAGAGTTGGACACAAACACACACACACACCAGATACC